GGAAGGAGGATCGGAGGAGGTGGCGGTGGCGCGAACGGTGAGGGCGGCGCGAGGGGTGGCCTGCATCTTCAAAAACACAACCACAGGGATCGAAAAAGAAGCAACCGCATCCGGTGATGCCTTCCTAACAATCAAATTATTTGCTACCAATAAAAGAAAAATTATTTGTTATGGGAATTAAAAAAATAAATCATTTACAAGGGTTGAGAGGACTGTCAAAAGAAGAAGAAGAAGAAGACGAAGAAGAAGAAGAAAGAGGAGAGATGAGAAGAAGAATAAATTCTCCATTAATAGGAAATAAATTTTGTCCAATTTATTGTAAAGATATGTGATTAATTAAGGAAATTGGTTGAGTAACGTTCCATGATATCCGCCCTTAGCTAACCAACCCAAAATCACGTTTCTAGCATATTTGAAAATAAAAGTAACACTTTCAGCAATTTTACAAATATTTATATATTAGATGTATTTTTGCAAATAAAATGGAATAATAAAGTGGAGGATGTAATTTCCTCAACTACTTAAGTGCTTTATCTTCTTGGAAAAACTCGTGTGGATTCTGGAGTGCAAGCCTTTGTGCCCAGTCGGCTTATCCATAATTGTGGATTGTTTGGTTAGAATTTTAGTTGTTGTGTGGTTTGTGGGGAAAGATTGTATTGATTAGTGAGAAAATGTAAGGGGCATATAAATAGTGTTGTGTGAGCAAATATTAAATAGGGACAATTTCAAATAATGCAAATTTTGGTCTTTGGGAGGATATTTGGTAGGGCCTGGTTTTTTCGATTTCTTTGACTTGAAATCCTGAACGCGGAATGTTTATATAAAAGAATTCCATTCTGCCTTATCATTTGAAAATGATCATAATTCATAATGTTGAGGTTTGACTTTTGAGTGGGGAAATTCAACATTTTTTTATTACAATACTCGTGCATTATAAGAATGCGTGTTATAAAAATTATTCTTAAATTTTTAAAATTAATGAGAAAAAATATTTTAAAATTTAAATAATGTTACAGAATATATATATTATTATATATTTCAGAATAACATTTGTTACTTGTGCGACGTACATGTGTTATAATATAATAATATTTTTAACTTATACCATATAACTACTATAAATATAAATTTATTAATTGATAAATAATTTTATTTTCTAGTTAATATTAATAAATAATATTATTATAATATAAAGATAAATAAAATTTATATATTTTATACCCACAATATGGATGTCAAATCAAAATTTATCAAACGGCGGTTAAATATATAGTATATATGTAAAATTGATAGAAAATACAAAAGTTATTAATTTTTAAAATAAATATACAATTTAATATTTATAATAGGAAATGGTATTAAAATGCAATTAATACATCTAAAATGACCATAAATAATAAATATATTTATGGATAATTCGAACATAATTATTTTTGAATTGGAAGTAAATTAAAATACATCCAAGCCAAATAATGAAACATAGAATTTTGACACATAAGATCTCGAAGAATGCGAGTCTGAACACAACACATTCAATAATTATATATAAGAGGGATCTTAAATTAGAAAATCATAAACAACTGATTAATTTATGTTGACAGTGAATAAAAATCTCAGATTATATGTAATCAAAATGGTTATTTAATTAGTAGTAAATGAGAAAAGAGTTCTTTTACACTACGTTTGAATTGAGTGATTTGAAATTTATAGATTTTAAATTTACAAGTTCAAATTCCCATACATGTTCAAATAATAGAAGTAGGAAGATTTGAAATTCAAGCTAGATAGACTTTAATCGTTAGTTTGAAGGAATTTATTAAATGTCTCTTCGAATCTAGTCATTTGAAATCTACTGTTTACCCTACCGTTGATCCGACCACACCGTCCGCGATTATGAATCTTCATTTAGATAAACTACCGAGAGTCAACACCATCAATGTGAGCTATTCAATGGATTTATAATTCTTTGCACAAATCCATTGAAGGAGATTGAAAGTAACAAATTTATATTTCAAAAGATACCGAATCAAGGGATTCCAAATGCCTCAATCCAAACGTAACTGTGGTTTATTTATGGAGTTTCTTCTTATTTAAACGTTGTTGGGGGGCGGGGGGAAGGAGTACGATCATCATCTTATGGAACGGGATTCGCTTAAACATGTTTCAAGACAGAAATTAAAAGCGAAAGCAATAACTAAGAAAATTGTCTTCAAGGAGAGTCTCACTACCCCCAGATCTCTTTAATTAGTAAATCGATTGTGCACACTATGTATAGCTTGGACTACAAGAAGAGGACTCCCTCCTAATCCTACTAACACTATATTCGAAACTACTAACTACTTCTCTGGACGCAATGGAGTTCAAAATAGCTATACGATCCCTCCTAGCTAACCAAATACTTAATCTATAAGTACTCAAAGAGCTTAAGAGTAAAGAGTAAAACCAAATCTTTTGTAATGTAAGAACACAAAACTGAATAGATGGAAATTAAACTAAACTAAGAAAATACAAGTGAAAGCTCACGAACTCTCAGAGATACACTTTTGAACATGAAACACAATAATCGCAACAACCATGTTTCTGAGCTTTCGTGCATGTATATATACAATCTCCTCTTCAAATTGCAATGTCTCCGACATCCTTCCATGTCGAGTAGATTCTCTTCTAAATTGATTTAGCTTCTTCGAGTTTAGATCTTCAGAATCTTTGGTCCATAAATACACAAGAACATTGTTTTCTTGTTTTCTATATTCTTCAAATATAATCCAAGATCTTCAATTTTTTGATCTTGATCTTGTCCAAGTAAATGCGAGATCTTCAAACATCATCGGCTTCTCCTGTCTTCGTGAGCGCGGTTCATCCTTTACCTACAAGAAACATAAAACGTATCTTAGCATTATATATATTTATCAAGAAAGTAAGAGAATATAAACAATATACTACTATATACTGCTATAAAATACTTACTATGATAAATAGATATAGTATTTATTATATAAGGAACTTTAAATAAATACAAAAGAGAGAAAGTGAAAAGTTTACCTATTAATTTGTTTTGCTTACCTGGCAAGAAAATCATACAGATTTGTCAAACACTTGCGAAATTTATATTTTAAATTATTTACAATATATAATTTGTTTAAGAAAAAAAAATGAAACGCTAAATAGTTTAATAAAAAAAATGTAACGCTAAATAGTTATTAAATTTAATAAAATATAATATTATTTATATTTAAAATATATCGAATCATTAATGTCCCAATAAATGTTACACTATGTTCATATTTTTTTATAGTTTATACTGGATGTAAGTATGAGTATATTACTAGTTTGCTATCCAACTAGTAGACTTGTCAAAACGGGCTTGGGCCCGCGGGCCGCCCCACCCCCGCAACGCCAAACAGGCGGGTTGGATTGCAATTTACAGGCCCGTCAAATGGCAGGCCTAAACAAGCTGGCCCGCGCGGGCCGCGGGCTTTGGCGGGGCGGGACAGGCGGGCTGCAGGCCAGCCCGCCATTACAGGAAAACCTTAAATATATTAAAATAACCCATTATCTCTTTGGCCCATAGACTTATGCCTTTTAACTTTTCCTATTTTCTAGTCCAGCCCAACTCGGGTATTACCATGTTGAGGTCCTTGTAGTTGTTCTAGTTGTTTGTGTTGTTGGTTAGTTTAGTTGTGAGTGTGTTTCTTTTTCTAGCGTTGCTAGTCGGGTTTCTAGGCGGGCTTCTAATCTGTCCTCCCACTTTTTCAGCTGTTGGCTACTGTATATTCAGCCGTTGGCTGCTGTGTATTTGCACATTTGTGCATTTTGATTTATAAAACTATCTATTATTTCGGGAAAAAAAAAAAAGTTCAGCCCAACTCCTCTTCAACCTACTAGCCCAAACAAAGGAAATAAATAAATAAATATTCCTCAATCCTCCCTAATTAAGTACACACAATCGGGTCTCTCACTACACAATACACGGAATTTGACTTGTGATAACGGCCCTTTATAGCACTTTACCAAAACAAAAAATGAAATATGGCCATATTCTTAAAAACAATGAAATATAGCCATTTGTGTTTGAAATACACTTGTACCCTCAATCTTAATTTTTCCTTTCTCCCCTACTTTTCCAAAAAAGCAGCCCGTTTCCCCTCCTGTAATCTCAAAATTTTCAGAATTTTTCCTTCCTCCTCTACTTCTCCGCCCAATTTTTTCTCGCTTTAATCAGCCCGTTTCTCGCTTTCTTCCTTCTCCAAATTTTGATAGTGCTTCTTGCTAACGATTCACGCCAATTTTCGCCGCCGCCGCCGTCGTCAATGCCCGTCACGATTCACGCCGCCGTCGAAATTGACCTCCTCCGGCAAGTCGACTGCTCGAGATCCTCCGGCGAATCGAACTGCTCGACGCCGGCACTACCAAACCGACCCTCAAGGTACGGTTCTGTAAGGTTTGATTAGGGTTTTTTTATCCTTTTTTCTTCTTCAATAATAGAAGCTTAATAATTCGGTATTTGGTTCCTCCAAGAGGTAACTCCATCTTCATCCATGGCATTCTCTTTTATTTTGTTTTTTTTTATTGTGTGGAAGTAGCTATTTAGATTTTTAGGCTGTTTTATTAGAATATGGGAAAAGTGTAGTTAGAATCAAGATTTAGCCAAGAGAGTGAGAAAGAAAATGTGAAGTCAATGTACTTGAATTATATTGCACTTTCTTGGAACTATTTAACTCTAGTTTGGTTCATCGATGAAGCTGAAACTTATCCCTTTTGCCCGTCACGAGAGAGAGAGAGAGAGAGAGAGAGAGAGAGAGAGAGAGAGAGAGAGAGAGAGAGAGAGAGAGAGAGGCGGCCCGTCATCTGTTTAATTCCCCTTCACGAGCGAACCCACCGGCAACTCCTTCACGAGTGACCCTGCCGGCAACCCCTTCCTCATCACGAGTGGCCCGTCATCTGCTCCTTTCCTCGAATCGATCTCCCTCGGTGAATTAGGGTTTTGAAATCACAAATCCATGAGAGGTAATTAGGGTTGAAGCGACTTCTCTCTTTCTCTTTTTTTCCTCGTTGAATTAGGGCTTCTATTCCCTTGTTTGAGTGGTGTTAGAGACATGGAATTTGAATTTTACAGTTTGATTAATTGGTTGTGTCATGAACATTGTTCTGTGATTTACTTCTGTTGTTAGTTTCTGTTTCCATTTGCAAACACCACTCACGGCCTATGTTGACTGCTGCAATAGATGATTAAGTTGCTCCCTGGTCTGTTGGTGTATATGTGTGTGTGTGTGTTGAGCACAATGGTGCAGTCCATAACAATTGTTGATTATTTTGTGCGAATAATGACAACAATTATCCTTGTGGAGGCTTATCCAAACCACTTTCATTTATAAAAGTTTTTGTAATATCCTACTATGTTTTGTAATATCCTTCTGCTGTTTGAGATAGGATCAGAGTGATTGGTCGTAAGTAGACATGAAGACATATCTACTTTGGCTAATGAAACAACTATGCTGATTCAAAAGGGAATATTTTAGTACTTTTTTAAATGCTAGCAAATTCTTCAGATTTTTCGGGAAGATAAAAAATTGTATCAGCATAATAAGAAAAAGAATTTAGAGATAAACTTTATTGATGTGTTTTGTGTCTTATTTCTATCAACGAGTTTTAGGGGTTGATGTATTACTTAGAATATTTTTCAACATTTTCCCTAGCAAGTGTGTCAAGTTTTTTATTTTCTTTTTTCTGTGCTTTTTTTTTTTAATAGCATAAAATGGCAAAAGTACTTAAAGGATTTGGCATGAAAAGAGCACTGATTGTTCACTCAGTGGGACTAGACGAGATGAGTCCGCTTGGTAAAATTAGATACATCCTTTTTATCTTAACCATAACATATTAGTGCAGCAAACATACAAGATTCGAGCTCCATTTCGATTTTTTCTTCACAGTATTGTTATCTATATAGCTTATGCAATTTCATTTTATGTAATTATACTAAGATTTCTTGAAAATTTAAAACAGGGCCCGGATAAGTCCTTCATGTATCTCAAGATATGATAGAGAAGTTCGCATTTAATCCATGTAAGATTCTTCAGTATTTGGTTCCTCCAAGAGGTAACTCCATCTTCATCCATGGCATTCTCTTTTATTTTGTTTTTTTTTTTTTTTTTATTGTGTGGAAGTAGCTATTTAGATTTTTAGGCTGTTTTATTAGAATATGGGAAGAGTGTATAGATGCAGTAATTAGAATCAAGATTTAGCCAATAGAGTGAGAAAGAAAATGTGAAGTCAATGAACTTGAATTATATTGCACTTTCTTGGAACTATTTAACTCTAGTTTGGTTCATCGATGAAGCTGAAACTTATCCCTTTCTCAAGAGCTGAACACTTTGATGCATGCTCTAGGACAGGACCAAATGACATTTATAATGATTTGTCTCGTGTTTATGTTGGCACCAGTTTTTTATGTTCTTGTAAATCAAGAATCCATCATTAAGTTCCACACTTGGATAGCTACTTAGGTGTAAATAATTGTTTCAAAGCTTTGAAGAACTGCTCTTTCAGTTTCTGGGATTTTCAGGGATTCTGTATTGGCTACAAAGTTATTATTTTTTACCCACCAAATCTTATCCCTTTGTTCTTGTGAATTGCGGAACAATGTATAGCATCATTAATGTCAATTGGCTAATTTGGGGTGTCCTTTCATGTGAACGTGTTGTGACCAAGAAAGTAGTTGATAGAGTCGGATAGTGTTGTTTAGATTAGAAGTGAGTCATATTCGTGTAATTCCAAGTTGTAGGTTGTGCGCAAACCGATCTATTAATGAAAGAGCTCTGATAGTAGTTGAACGCTTCCTAAAGACATTTGTTTTTCTATTGCTTTCGCCTTTTATTTCAGTGAACACACTTTGCGACTCTACTCCTCCGACCCATTTTTTTCACGGGATTTCAAAAGAAAAAACCATATATGAAATTTATTTCAAATCTCTCTTCAAACTTAAGATCTTATATTCTTCCCAAATCTGAAAATTTTGCGCACTCTATTCCCTCGGCCCATTTTTTCACAAGGATTCCAATATATATATATATATATATNCGCACTCTATTCCCTCGGCCCATTTTTTCACAAGGATTCCTAATATATATATATATATATATATGAAATACTAAGATTTTATAAATTCCTCTTGAAAATTTAAAAATTCTCAATTCTCATAAATTCTTATTTAAAATCTCGAAAATACACCCATAAGACTTCTCTCAACTAATCATTTTCTTTATGCAGAGAAAGATATTCTTTGCTAGGGGCAAAGCAAACGCAGGGGTGTATCATATAATAGTGATAACAAATTTACTAGGCTATTTGCAGCAGGCCCCGGTATTTTATTCTTACACAGAAATTCAGCTTGTCAGAGTTGATTTACTGACATCGTCAAACATGGCGTTATCACTGAGGCAGTCAATTACCAGAAGATTATACTCAAATTCATGCTTAGCCTACGCCGACTTCTCGGGCACCCTGAAATCCGACGACCGCCCCAAAGACCCCCCGACTCATAACCTCCATGACTCCTCACTAATCAACATGCTGGAGCTCAACTCACAGCTCAAGCACCTCACAAAATCCGGCGACCTGAAAACCGCCCGCAACATGTTCGACACATTGCCCCAAAGGGACGAAATCACCTGGACCACCCTGATTGCCGGCTACATCAGCTCCTCAGACACATCCGAAGCAATTTCTTTGTTCTCGAAAATGTGGGTCGACCCGGATGTCGTAATGGACCCATTCATACTCAGTCTTGCTTTGAAAGCGTGCGGCCTGAATGTAAATTTGCGTTACGGTCAAGGGCTGCACGGGTACTCCGTGAAATCCAGCTTCATCTGCTCGGTTTTTGTCGGGAGTTCGGTCCTCGACATGTACATGAAGAACGGAAGAATTCTCGAGGGGTGTGCAGTCTTTGACGAAATGCCGTCAAGAAATGTGGTATCTTGGACAGCTGTCATCACAGGCCTCGTCCGGGCAGGTCTCCACTCCCGGGGGCTTTTATATTTTTCCCAGATGTGGAAAAATGGGGTCGAGTATGATTCTTACACGTTTGCCATTGCACTCAAGGCTTGTGCTGATCTCGAGCTGTTGCACAACGGGAAAGAGATTCACGCCCGCATATTAAAAAGAGGTGTAGAAACAACGACATATGTAGCCAACAGCCTTTCCACAATGTACAATAAGTGCGGGAAAGTCGAATATGGCTCGTTTCTATTCGAGTGTATGACTAAACCGGACGTGGTCTCTTGGACGTCCATGATAATGACATACATCCAGACAGGCCAAGAGAAACAGGGGATTAATTCTTTTTCGCGCATGCGAGCATGCGGGATAAGCCCCAACGAGTACACTTACGCGGCAGTTATTTCGGGAGTCGCGAATATTGCGAATCTCGAGTGGGGCCAGCAGCTGCACGCGCACGTCCTGCTCGTGGGTCTCGCAGAATCTCTATCGGTATCGAATTCTATCATGACCATGTATTCAAAATGCGGGCTTCCCGATTCTGCCCTCGAAATCTTTCGCCAAATGACCGCAAGAGACGTAATCTCCTGGAGCACAATCATCGCAGGCCATTCTTTGGGGGGCCACGCAGAGGAGGCCTTCGAGCTGTTCTCGCAGATGAGGAAAGAAGGCCCGAGGCCCACTGAGTTCGCTGTGTCAAGCGTGCTGAGTGTTTGCGGCAGCATGGCTATTCTCGATCAAGGCAAACAGCTCCACGCGTACGTTTTATCCGTCGGCCTCGACCAAACGGCCATGATCCCGAGCTCCCTCATAAACATGTATTCGAAATGCGGTTGCATTCTAGAGGCTGCGAAAGTATTCTCGCTTACTCTAAATGACGATATAGTCTCGTGGACGGCCATGATCAACGGATACGCGGAGCACGGATTGAGTCGGGAAGCCATCGAATTATTCGAGAAAATCCCGGACGCGGGCCTCCGGCCCGACTCGGTGACTTTCATCGGCGTCCTCAGCGCGTGCAGCCACGCGGGGCTCCTCGGTCTGGGGTCCCGCTATTTCGACTCCATGATAGAAAAATACCAAATTTACCCTTGTAAAGAGCACTACGGGTGCATGATCGACCTGTTTTGTCGGGCGGGGAGGTTAGAGGAGGCCGAGAGGATGATGAGAGAAATGCCGTTCGAGAAAGATGTCGTGGTCTGGTCGAGCGTGCTGAGGGCTAGTCGGGAGTGTGGTGACGTGGAGCGCGGGCGGGTCGCGGCCGAAGAGGTGATTAGGCTCGACCCGAAGTGCGGTGGGGCCCACATCACGCTGGCGAATATGTATGCGTCTGATGGGAGGTGGAAGGAGGCGGCTGAGGTGAGGAGGTTGATGAGGTGGAGGGGTGTGGTGAAGGAGCCCGGGTGGTCGTGGGTGAAGGTGGAGGAGGAGAGAGTGTCGGCTTTTGTTGCGGGGGATAGGAATCATCCGAGATGCGAGGAGGTTTATGGGATGTTGGGGCTGGTGTATTGTTCGAGTGAGGAGTTGAGTTTCGAGGAGGTTGATTCGGGTGTGAGAATATAAATATTCTTTGTTGTAATATGATTTTTATTTTCTCCTCCTTGATGTCTTTGTGACTGCTTGAATGCAATTTATAACTTATTAAAGGTAATTTTTTCAAAGTCTAGAAAAACAAGAAAAACCGTTTTTTTTTTCAATTATTTATTTATTTAATAATCTTCTTTAATTAGATTTTTTCTTGTATGATTTTATCTACAAATAGCCCTACCACGCAAGTTCAAATCGGAAAATTCGAAAACGTAAAATTTGCCTGGGACCTCCAAATTTCTAGAGACGGCTCTGTCTATACCCTATATAAATCAGTATTCAGCCATGGTCAACTTTGTGTTGCAATATCCAGAGTAAAGAATAGAAGTGGTTGGGAAAAATCTTTATTGCGACTATAATAGGAATATTGTAAATCGAACTAATAACGTTGTATATCGAGAAGTTTTTCAAAATTCGAAATAATATTACAATGTCCGTTTTTAATTCATTATTTTTTGTTTTTTAATTTATTATGTAAATTATTGTAGTTCTACCTTTAGTGAAACATAATTTCTTACCCGTGTAGTACACGAGTATTGTACTTGTAGGAATTTAAATAAAAACAAAAAGGCAGTGAAATATTTTGGGCTGCCAAAAATTGAGGCACCTGGGTGAGATCTCCTGTAAATTCCCAATCTCCCCGAAATCCGCCAATCTAATGAAAGTCTTTGTTGTGTTTTATTTTCTTTTCTAGTTTTGTGGATTTTTATTTATTTTATTTTTAATTTTTATCAATGAAGCTCTACCGGTAACCAAACGCACCATGAGAAAAACAAAAAGGTGAGAAAAAACACAAACAAAAGAACAAAAAGAATGTCAGCGCTTTCTGTTATTCCCATAACTGTAGCTACTTTTAGTTTATCCCAATCAAGAAAGCTTCACAAACCCAGTAAAAATCTCGCCAAAAGATTAGATTCACGGGTAGAATTTCAGTTACCCAGTAAAAATTTCGCCAAAAGATTAGATTTTCGTGTGGATTTTCTGAAACCCAGTAAAATTTTTGCCAAATGATTAGATTCTCGAGTTGATTTTAACTGCAGAGACTCTGTATCTTGGGCTCGTAGGACCAAAACACAGAATATTATGATATATGGTGTTAATGGGGCTCGGGCTAGTACGAACGATGAGAGTATTGAGGTTTTTGAGCAGGAAGCTTTTGTGGATGGGTCTTCGAAACTCGGAGCCGGTCGACTCGAAGCTACTCTCAATAGCTTGGTTCGTGAAATTTTATAAATTTTACTTTTTTATTAATTAAGTGTTCATCTTCTTTGTGGGCTGTGTTTATCCTCGTCGACTGCTCTTTATTATTTTTATCCTCGTTGAATGCTCTTCATTATTTGTAGTAGATCAGAGCAGACTGCAAAATAGAACATGTGGTGATGGTTTAAAATTATATGAAATAAGTACAGAGTCAAGTTGCACTATGTTTGATATGAAAATTGTAAGAAGCGATTTATTTGCTATTGGAAAATGTGGGAATCATTAAAAGAACAGAAGGGAAAGGAAAAATCAGTGTGCAATGACGAAAAAATGAAGAACTTGTTCTAGCGAAAGGTATGAGCTACTTTGGCACCAATTGAGCTTTTTCTACTGTAGACAGATGAAAGGTGCACTGTCATAACCTTAGCAATGGACTGTGCTTAGTAATGATAACATTTGCAGAATTTAGTTTCGTAGCTGAGTTTTTGTCTTGTTTTAATATGAAGAGATGCAAGCACTTGAGGTTTATTTATTGACATGGTCGAAATCTTGTGCTTACTTAGATGTCAATTACTTCAATACATTTGGTCAGTGAAAAGGAAACTTTTGCCTTCAGTGGATGAACAAAATGCATTCGGCTTCTGCAATTTTTGGTTAGATGTAAAGAAATGACATCTACTAAAGTCTAGAAGTTGAAGCTTACATGGTTGTCGTACTCTTAAGAATTACAAAAATATGAGATGATTTGTCAATAATTCAAAAGTATTTTGGTCATGAATTAAGGACCAAGTAATTCAAGAATGTCGTACTTGTCAAAAGTTTCAAAGATATTTAATACAAAATAATACCACAATAACTTTAATTGACAAGCTGCTATATGTGTGACTTGGTTCTCTTCTTTAGGAACCGAATTCTGAATCATTTTTTCTAAAGTGTCTTCATGCACTTTCAGTCTATAGACTCTCTAAACACTCATATGAAGTCGTATGTAACTGCTGATTCTCATTACATTTGTCTTGTTTAAAAGCGTTGAACACCTTATGTGATTTATTGCTGATGGATAAGCGTAAATACTCTGTGTGCTCACTTAAAATGCACTGAATGTCTAATGTGAAAGTTTGTTTAAATATGTGAATGATGTTGATCCTGCTGACTTGTGTTTCTTTGCTTTATTGAATTAAAAGGGAGAGGTATCACTTGTGGAAATTCAATTCCAAATGTCATTTTTTCCTGAATGATCAATTTTTTAGTTGAAAACAGTACTTCTATACCCTGAAGGCTAAAGTACACTTTAGGCACTCACAGAATCTTGAGCTTTTGAAATGCCTTTAGGCTACGTTTGTTTTGAGGGATTTGAAATCCCTTGATTTCAAAATTTTTGAAATATAAAGTTTTTACTTGCACACTCCTTAAATTGATTTGTTGAAATGATTATAAATCCATTGTCTAGTCCGCACCGATGGTGTTGACTCGTGGTGGTGATGAACCTAAATGATGGCAAACGGTGTGGTCTTCAACGGTGATAAACAGTGGATTTCAAATGACTAGGTTTGAGGAGTTATTTAAAATCCTTCAAAATAATGACTAAAAACTAGCATGTATTTAAAATCCCTCAATTTCTATTACCATCCCAACATGCATGGGGATTTGATCTTGTAAATTTGAAATCTATAGATTTCAAATCAATCAGTAAATCCTTCAATCCAAACGTGGCCTTAGAAAATATTAATATCATTGAAAATTGATTGGGTTTTGGTTTTGCCACAATTTAGCCAAACTCGAAGGTTGGTATTCCTAATTTTATCACTTGAAGTTTTAATGAGCACATATTTTTTATTTTTGTTGTTTGTTGCACTTGACTCAGAGCAAGTGGCTCGTCTCGGCGCTTTTTGCCGCAATTGTTCTGTGGAGGCATGATCCCGAAGTATTATGGGCAGCTATGGGTGCTATTCTCAATGCTCAACTCTCGGTGGTACTTAAGAGGTTATTAAACCAAGAAAGGCCTATTTCTACATTAAGATCAGACCCAGGAATGCCTTCATCTCATGCACAAGCCATCTTCTACACAGTCTTATTTCTCAATTTGGCAAGTGAGTCCGGATAATCTTTAAACATGCATTTCATCACATATTTTAGTGTGGAACACCATTTAGTTCTGCTCGAGTATCGATTCTTTTGTTCTAGTAAACACTAACACTCATAATAATTTTCTTGTGGCAGTTATATAGTTTTCTTGTATCTTTTGGCAGTTATATAGTTTTCTTGTGTATTTGTTGAATATTGTAAAATGCAGTGGTAGAGTGGTATGGGATGAATGTGCTGACAGCCACTCTAGGGGGATTTCTCTTCATACTTGGTTCTTATTTTGTAAGTACACGGATCGTTAGCTCGGATTCAAGAGTTTCGTGAGCTTATTTTGTCATTAGTAGCCATTGAACATTGTAAAAGTTCACATAAACTCGCTAGTTAAAACATTCTGTTATCCCATAAACTTCATGCATTATTGATGAGTGTCCGTATGAACAAAAAAAATAAAAAAAAATAAAGATATGCATTGATAGCATATTAAGCCGCTAATTGGTTTGTTGTGTGGATGATACTGAAAGTTTTTTTATTTTATTTTATTTTTTTATTTTTTTTTCAGATCTCAAGACAACTTTGTTTTAGCAATTTTAGATGTGTTATAGATAATAATAGTAGCAACATTCATATAGCTTTGATGGTGTAAATTCGTATGATTCTAAATTTTTTGAAAATTTTCCTTGTGCAGTCATGGCTTCGAGTTTCCCAACAACTTCATACGACTATGCAGGTGGTCGTTGGTGCCATAATTGGATTGATTTTTTCAATTATTTGGTTCTTGGCCTGGAATACTTTTGTATTAGATGCATTTGTATCCTCATTATGGGTTAGAATTGTAGTTATTTTGGGTGCAGTTGGGTCCTGTATTGGTTTTCTGTTGCACGTTATTCGTACTTGGATGGTAGAGGAACGGTAATCCCATCTAATAGTAATAATGTGGCCGTGAGCGGACCTTAATTACGAGAAGAAAAATATTGTTTTTGATAGTTTACACTTCTTTCTGTAAATGTAAGATTTGTATCAATCAGTTGTTTTATATTTGCATCTTGTCAGTGTCATCAGAGAAAAATATTGTTTTGATAGTCTGAGCATCACCATCTATTTAGGAAAAGAATGTTGTTGTTGTTCATCTGAGCTCGGTAGCCTAATGATCGTCCAAAACAGAGGAGAAAAAAAATGATTGCTTGAAAAACAAAGGAAAATGAATAAAGACAGACATGATCCATAAGAAACAAAAGATCTCAAAAAAATCATAGAAATTTGTTTAACATGGGTTCGGGTACGAGTGGATTGTCACCATATCAATCTCATGAAACAAGTTGTTTGTTATAAAATCAGTCACCGTGTTGAAACTGGGATCTATCCTGGTCTTTGGAGGTGAAGGTTTGACCATAGAAACCTTTTAATCCAATTTCTAGCAAATGCTTTTGATCAATGTACTTCAAATTTGAGTTGCATCTTGGCTCATTCATTAGTTTCCATGCCATTATTGCCAGGTCATTCTTGTAAGCAACTCCAGTTATCTTGTTGTGTCTGTTAAGAACAGCCTGCAATAAACACAACACGCACCACACAATTAGTAAAAAGAAAACATATAATCCGAACCACGATAAATTAAAAACCGATTTGCATTGCTCAAAACATAGGAAAGCAGAACAAGTTGCAGTATTAAATATATATCGAAGCATATACTAAAGAAAATGAATGGAAGAAAAAGAGAAAGTAGGAACTTACCTTTATATGATTCTTGATATAAATTCTGACTAGGGAGTTTGTAAAGTCTTCATAGATATTAACCCAAGTTTAATATCAGCTTAATCTCATATCCCCTAACTTCAGAAACAACAAAACCAAGCCCCTTTCACTTCCATATATAGCTCAAGATACCACACTGCTTAATTTGAGATGCCACAACATCCAGCTGCCATTTTCTTCACGATCTTTGACATTTACCCGCGAGTTAGTGTTCCTAACATCTTGTCAAGAGTTTTCAACATATGTATAACGCTAGTAAGATTTTTTTTCCTAAGTCTAGTCTGACTACATAAAAATCAAAACTGATTCTTGAAATTATATGGTAAGTGACCATATGCCAACTTAGTATATAAGACAACATGCACCTTCTCTGGTGGGCTATTGGCAAAGTTTCTTGGCCATATCACCTCCCAATTCCACAATAGAGCAATTTATCATACTATGTCCCCTCTCCACACAAAAAAAGACAGGAACTTCAATTTTTTCTCGAGAAAATAGATGAGAACTCTTTTCCACACCACAGAATTTAGTCGAGGACTGTACCCACCCCATCTGTACTGAACCACAAATTCTCAGCTCCCACATATACCTTTGGGTTTTTTTTTTTTTTAAAGAAATCTCCCTTAGAATAAATTATTAAATTGTCCTCTTGAATCTCGTGAGGCGACGGAAGAAATTGGGTTTGAAAGGTTACTAGTTTTTGTCCCGTGCATTTGCACGGAAAACTATATGATACATGAAAAAATAATATAAATTATAAACAATAGTAGAAATCATAACAAAATCATTGAAAAAAATTATGAAAAAAATATAAATATTCTTAAACAATTCTTTATAAAACAACGTCGTGGTTTTTCTATCGTCAAAATCTCCCTCAGCTCAAATCAAAATCTTCAAACCCCACTGACTCGTAACTCTAAAAAGCGCCACTTATAATTGCTCATGACTAAATGCAGAGCTCTTCAGTAGTAAGCCGACGTGCGACAGAGACTGTCTTTGACTCTTATTGATCATGTCATAGCATAGGAAACACTTCTTTATATTGTTTGTCCTTGACTCTTATTGATTGATAGAGATTGTCCTTGCTTCTTAATAAAAAAAAATACCATTTAAATATAAATGAGTAAATAGAATATTAATTTTTATATAAACAAAAAATTTAAAGTAATTGATAATGAATATATAATTAACCTTGCGGATTGAAGTTATTTCAACGATGTTCTTTTTATATATCTAAGATTTAATT